GAGAAAATTTGATTGGACAGTGGATTATGGTGGTTGATTGACCACGAATCCCCTTCAAAGATGGTTTATGTATTAATTGACGATTGAAGGTGGTTTCTATAGAATGATCCTATTTTAAGGTGGTTTCTTGATCCTACCTTAAAGATGGTCAAGAGAAAGGGGAAGAGAGGCACCGCGCGGGGGGTAAATAATTATTTGGGGAACTTTCTGCATATTACCTCAAAACCCTGGTAGATAAATGGGGTTAAGCACTTGCATCTGTTGTGTTTCCCTTTAGTTTCCAAGAGCATACTTAGTGCAAACGACATGCATATGTATAAAATAATCAGATTCGGTTTCTGTAATACTCAAATGCCACTTGTTACATTAAATGGTGCAAAGTTTTTGCAAGTTCCTCAAAACTTTGCTAGAGATGGGGGAGGGGGGAAATTTAAAGTTTGTTTTTCATTGATTAGTATACTTTATTGCTTAACTTCCGAAGTTGTTAATAGTTTATGTGTTGCTTGGTAAATATGAATACGATTTCTTATAGTTTAGTTTTTACCAGTAAATTTAAGTACCCTTTTGCACTTCAGAATACAGGCTTAAGGGGTTTGTGAGCCACATGGGCACCTCGACTCACTGTGGCCACTACGTCGCCCACATCCTCAAGAACGGGAGATGGGTAATCTTCAACGACAGCAAAGTTGGTGCATCCATCGACCCGCCAAAGGACATGGGCTACCTCTACTTCTTTGAGAGGATGGGCATCTAACAGTTGCAACAACAAGAAGAAGCAATTGATGACGCCACAAACTTTTCATATTAACACACCAATTGCTTTGAAATAGCAGGATGTCATTTGTCTTTTTTGTGCATCTGATTTCCATGCTGCCTGTTGTGATCGACTGTAATTTGTTTCACACGGTGGCTGTTGCATTCTCACCATAAATGAAAGAGTTCGTGGATTTTACACCTGTTGTGCTTTGATTTACGATCGCCAATAAGACTCTTGTAGACGTTTCTTGCGTTCTTTGATGTAGACACCTGTGGGACTCGTGAGGGTGTGCTGTTTTGTTTCATTATTGAAATTAAGAGTGCGAGTGGTCGATGGGGAACCAGCAGAAGATACGTTTTGTTAGAATACCTGATACATTTGATTTACGCAAGCGTTTTTGCCTGGCTATTTTCCCAGTAATGGGAACAGTTTAGGTATTGACGAGTACACGCACCTAACAGCATTTTGTTTGCTTTAAGTAGTCTGTGATTGCATTGTGCGTGTCGGTCGGTTATACGTATGTGTACCGTCGTTAATGTAACTTGTATCTGTTGCGTTATTCAATCTTGAGCGTATGGACCCGTTGTTGGTTGGGGGTTAGATTTTCCTTTCCTTTCTTTCTCTTTCTTTCCTTTTTATTTGGAAAATTTAATAGCAGTACAATAGATGTATCCTGCCAGAAAGTTGCGTGTTTCAATCATGTTTCCGTATGTCTCCACTCTCCGATTTGAAAGCATTAAAAATATATATGTTTGCATGTCAGTGACACCGTGTAATTAATAAAAGAAGTAGCTACCAATCAACTAAATGCCTTGAAAAGTTTCTTCAATGCAAAACCGTTTTCTTTCGTCCTCTTTTCTTCCGCATATTTAGCCTCATATATCTTATTTAATTCCTGAAGAGCCCCATTGGCCTAAACCCTGAGGGGGGTTTTGCATATAATTCCATAAAAGTAACACTGTCGAATGTGAGCACATGGCACATTAATTGAAGATGACACAGCTTAAGTGTAATAGGGTATATATTTCCACCTTCTAGCCCTCAAACTTTTTTTTTTGTCGTAGCTTCATGCCTGGGAGCGCAACTTATTTGTTGTAACATTCTCTGAAACATGTACATGTTCTCATGCTACTTTACGACTAATATTTTTAACCTCGGGTATGGGAACGTACGTAGAGAAGGTATCTGATGAGGATAATCCAGGGCATTAACATACACTTAAAGAATGTGATTCTGTGAAACACTTGGATCTTGAATCTGCGCACGAATTCTGAAATTTCACGATTCAACAGTTGACATTCATTAATGCACATTTTATATCTAGACCTGGATATACTTTGATACTTTTTCTACGCAATTTGTGTTGGGAAAAACAAGCATAAAAACAGATCCAAAATAGTATAGAACAAACCATATAGGAAAGAAAAAAAGAGAGCAGAAAGTTAGAAACATTATATTAAATACACTTCAAGTTTAAAATACTTTACAGAAGTGTCAAATCGTCCTCTTAACAGATGACTGGTCTTGAAGAAACTATGCCCCACCTACGGTAGCGTTGGTCTACACAGTACTCCCAAGGATGAGACGGTTGCAGTCTAAAGAAACGCTCTCTTCTTATGAACACCACGACTACTTTTTCAGTTAGTCAGAACCTCCAATACTTAACAGCTTATAGAATTATTAAAAGAAGAAGAAGACATGAGATTTTGTTTTTTCTATGTGTTTCAAATGATCAGAAGAAGCTCTTTTATAAGGTTCATGGGAGATAAAGATTTAAATTTCAGTTATTACAATGTTTGTAACGTCTGCAATAAAACCTATTCTATCCTTTTAACGTTTGTAACGTACGAAACGTTCAGTTGGTTTTAAGTGAGCACATGCAAAAAGAGCATGTGCTGGATCACGCACCCGAACCACGCCTGAGCCCGCACGCACGGTCCTACACGCACGATCCCGCTCGCACAAGCCCGCTCGCTTGCTCACACGCTTGCTTATATACCAACACAAGTGTAATATTAGCACCTTTGTTATACCATATATAACACGTGTGTTAATTTGAATAAACTAAAATGCATTCAATTAGCCAATGTGGGACTAAAAATCACATACTACTTATTAAATATATTTTAATTTTTATCTATAAAATCAAATCATTAAATAATATCTTTCTTTAAAAACCCTCTAAGATTCATTTATTTTAACAATCCCCCACAATTCTATAGGTGATAGTAATTAAGATTATACATATCATGCTTTCGGATAAGGTATCTTCTTATTTGAATCTTCCCTATAGTTATCAAATTTTATCACCACGGGTACGAAGTGAAACTAAGTCTTGAACTTGAACCTTTGATGTGGTGATATTCATTGGTAACAACACGATATAGGCTATAGAAGCAATCTTTGGGTTTGACGTATTATGGTCATGCGTCCTTATCCTTTTCATGAACAATTTCGAGGAATAACCTCCTTCCTCTAATTGCAGCCACACAATTATGTTCATATAGTTGGGCATCTCCAGGGATGCACTCCTTGCATCTCGTCATAAAAACTTGATTCCATTTAGAGTCGAAACACTCTTACTATATTAGCAGTTATCAACACCTTCCAGGTATACATGATGATAGACTCAGATACAAAGTATCAATTTATGATTAGGTGTTTAAATCACTCAATAGTTTTTTGTTACCACATTGAACCTACTTTGTGGGATCTCGACTCAGATAGGTTGGGTTGCTACTATCGATGAGTTAGGTAAGAATTTCAGTCTCATCATCAATCTAGATTTAAGAACTAGTGATAACTCTGGTCCTTTTGTAAAGGGATATGCTATGTTGTCCTTGGATCTGACAAAGTGCACAACAATTACCCCTTCATCAACAAACTTCTTCACAGTCTTTATCCGTACTTGGATATGACCTTGAGTTTTGCAGTTATACTTTAAACTTTTAATTCTTGCAATTGTGGTCATATTGTCACAATGTACAGAGATTGCAGGAATAGGCTTGCTGATCATGGCAATTCGGACATAAGTCCCTTAAGCCATTCAGCTTCTAAGCTAGTAGTGTCCAAAGCGTAAAGTTCTGCCCTAAACGTAGATCGAGATAAAATGGTATGTTTGACAGATCTCCAGGTGACAGCGCCGCCACCCAAGGTAAATATATACCATGTACAATCATTACTACCTGAACCTATAGCAATCCAGCTAGCGTCACTATATCCCTCCATAACGGAAGAAAATCTACCATAATGCAGTGTAAGGGAAACAGTTCCCTTCAGATACCGAAGTATCCTATCTAAGGCCTCCCAATGAGTCCTATTTGGATAGCTAGTATGTCTACTTAATTTAAAAACCGAGTAAGATATATCCGGTCTCGAACAATTTGCAAGATACGTCAAGCTTCCAATAATTTGAGAATATCTCAATTGAGATACAAAGACTCCACTTACATTCTTGTAAAGAGTTACTGAAGGATTATATAGAGTTTTTACGGGTTTATAATTCTTATAGCCAAATTTCTCAATAACCTTCTCAACATAGTAAAATTTAGAAATAACTACACCCTTAACTGATCTTATCAGTTTTAGACCAAGAATCACGCCAACAACTCCCATGTCCTTCATTTCAAACTTACTACTCAAGAATGACTTAGTCTCATTGATTATCCCAATGTTAGATCCAAACAATAGAATATCGTCAACATAAGTACACGGAAGAATACAAAAATCATCTCTTACTTTGCTATAAATGCACTTATTAGACTCAATCATTTTAAAACCAAAATTAGTGATAGTTGTATCAAACCTTTTATGCCATTGTTTAGGGGCATGTTTAAGTCCGTATAGAGACTTCACAAGTTTACATACTTTCCTTTTATTTTCAGGTGCTACAAATCCCTCAAGCTGGTCCATATAAATCTTTTCTTCAAGAAAACCATGAAGAAAAGTAGTTTTTATATCCATCTGGTGGATTGTATAATCATATATAGAAGCCAATGCTATAAGCATTCTGATTGTAGTCATTTGGGTAATTGGAGAGTATGTGTTAAAGAAATTAATTCCTTCAACTTGTTTGAACCCCTTGGCAATAAGTCTGCCTTAATTTTTTTTACGGTTCCATCTGGTTTCAATTTCTTTTAAAAATCCATTTAGACCCAATTTTCTTGCACCCAAGAGGAAGATCAACTAATTCTCATATCTCATTAGAGACAATAGAATCCATTTCACTTTTGACAGCTTGCTTTTACTGTTTAGCATCATTCAAGGTCATAGAGGATCTGTAGAAAATAGGATCCTCATCAATATTGTAAGTGACAAAGTCACTTCCAAAATCTTTGACGACCCTAACTCTCTTACTCCTTCTATGTTCGTCTAAATCATTTGATCTTTCATATTCAGATTTAGAACTATATATCCCCATATTTATCATCTTTTCCATATGATCAAGAATGGAAGTTGAGACAGATACATTATTTTCATTAGAGATATTTTGAGGCATTCCAGTTTTCATGGGGGAAACATCCTTAAAAAATATTGTTTCACGAAATTTAATAATTGTATTAACATCTATACTTGGGATTTCAGATTTGATCACTAAGTATCTCAAAGCATAAGTTTTTTCTATTATAACCTAAAAAGATAGAGTCTACTGTCTTAGGAACTAGTTTCTTCCTCTTGTGTTCTAGGATTAGCACTTTTGCTAGAAACTCCTACACTTTAAGGTATTTCAAGCTTGTCTTTCGACCTCTCCAAAGTTTAAATAGACCACTTTCTTTTTGTTTCTGAGGGATTCTATTCAGAATATGACAAGCCGTATTCAAAGCCCCTCCCTATATATATTTAGAAAGTCCTGAACTTTCAAGTTGACTATTAATCATATCTTTTAAGGTTCTATTTTTTCGTTCAACTACATCGTTAGACTGAAGAGAATAAGGAGAAGTTTCCTCATGCACTATACCAAAAGATTGATATAGAAGAGTAAATTCATTTGATGTATATTCTCCACATCTATCAGATCTTAAAATTTTAAGTTTCTTGCCAGTTTGAGTTTCAGCTTCATTCTTAAAAATGATATTTTTCTTGAGCCTCATCTTTAGTTTTAAGCAAGTAAATATAACAATACTTTTTATAGTTATCTCTAAAGGTGATAAAATATTTCTTCATATCTTTAATCAAAACACCATTAAATTCATAAATATCAGTATGAACTAAATTAAGCAACTCAGAGTTTCTATCAACAGATTGAAAATGTTTCCTTGTTTGTTTAGTTGTTCTACATACTTGACATTTTTTACTATATTCTAAAGAGTGTTTTGAAATCATATTAATATTCATCATTCTTTTTACAGAATTAAAATTAATATGATCAAGACGTTTGTGCCAAATATCAGATGATTCAATATTATTACTAATAGGATAATCAGAAATATATATTTTATTTATTTCAAAACTAAGAACATGTTATGTTCTAGCCTTATACATTTCATAAAAATTATAGCCTTTAAAGATAAAAAAAATTCAGCATGTGACATAACTACTTTATTACATTTAAAAGAAAACTCATAACCTTCCATAACTAAACATAAACCACTAATAATGTTGCATTGAATGGTAGGAACATGATGCACCATTGCACCCTATGTAATGATAGAACTCGCCTTAAAAGGAAACTTCAGGTCCAATCGTCCATATCCTAACACTTTAGATGCAGTTTGGTTCTCCATCTTCACAATATTTCCATTTGCAGGAAGGTAAGACACAAACAATAATTTATCAACACAAATGTGTACGTTTGCACCAGCTTCTACCAACCATTCATTTGGTTCATAAATATTTAGTAATTCAAGGTTAATAGAAACATACCCTTCTACCAGTGGGCTCAGTCATAACCATGTTAACCTGAGGCACACTAGTTGACCCTGGATTGACTTTAGCTATCTTTGTAGGACAAAAACTCACATACTACTTATTAAACACGTTTTAATTTTCATCTATAGAATCCAATCATTAAATGATATCTTTCCATAAAACCCCTCACAGATTCATTTATTTCAACAATTTTCTGTAGAGATGCCTGTGACACTTTATTACATTTGATTTCGTTGCAATGAACACTTGCTTATTAAAATTTTATTTGTATTAAGTCCGTGTCTGTGTGGTGTGACTGACCAGCTACCGGCTACCACCCCCTGGCACTCATCAGCCTCCCTCCGTCCGATCAGGTCCCTGCGGCGTTCCAGTCCGCTCCTCGTGCAGGGTGACGCCCACGCAACTATCACGTACCTCCCGCCAAAGCGTGTGGGTCTAACTGTACGCGGAGCCCCGCCGCGTTGACGCCCGCCGCAGCAGCCTGCGGTTTCGCCGCGTCGGGTCTCCCGCTCTGGCATCGTCCGGCCACGCTTGGAGCCCATGCGGGAAAGCAGACTGAGGCGCAATCGCCTGCGGGCCACCAGCCACCCCTCGAACCGGGGTCGGAGCGCGCTAAGCTTCTCGGAACTTGCTTGCTGGCCATGTCCACGTCGGATCGGATGTGTGCTTGGAGATACGCGCTGCCGTAGGTCTGGATCACCATGAAGAGCTTGAGTGCTCGAAATGGACGGCCACACCCAATCTGTTGGAAAATTACAATTAATTTTTTATGATAATTAATAATTATGATTATATATAGATGCTAATTGAGACGTCGACCATGATGAGTTTTAACCACAGCAGCAACCGATCTGGACGGATAGAATGTTTCAATGTGTCTCCCACGGTCTTGTGTTCGATTCTAAGCTGATTTATTAAAAAAAAAAAAGTTTCTAAATTTTAATTCCTTTTTTCCCCCCTATCCATAACCTCTCTCTTTGCTGCTGATCAAATTAATTAGGTCCAGCTAGTGATCACTTGTTTAATAAAACCTTATAGTGCTTCTAAATTGCATCACGTGAGTAGTTATCAAGAAAATATCCAAAAAAATATATCTATATATCAAACCAAATTACATTTTATTTTTAAAAACACCACAAGTCATACTTTTTGTGAGGTTGGTATGTTACGTGATGATAATGCAATAACAGCTATTTCTTTATATACTTGATTTGGAGGGTATTTTGTCCGTACACAAGTTCTTGCAGAACAACCTACATAAGATAAGAGCACGCCATTCTGTCCCCACAAAAATTAAATAGAAAATTAAAAATTACAAAAAAAAATCTACAAAGTGAATGCTAAATATCATAAAAAAAACCTCTTAACTTTAGATGAGTATCAGAAAACGCCCATAACTTTCAAAATATCACGAAACGCATCCTACGTAAGTTCAGGGGTTATCAGGAAAGTATCATCATTTAACTTTGAGATTTTATTAAAAGACCCCTTAATTTATGAGGGTTTTCTCGTAATCGTCTAAAGCTAAAGGGGAGTTTTTCTAATACTAGCTAGAGGGGAACTCTTTAGGGGTCTTCATTGCTTCTTGTTTGGATCAGAACAACTCGATCGCATACGAAAAGTCCTGATAATTAAGATTTGCGTTTTCATGTCACGTACCTGTAAATCTTTGAAATCCACAACCGAACCCGACTCGCTCTGTTTATTCTTCAGATACTCCGGGTCAGTCCCAAGCGACTCAACCAACCTCCTCCAATCTCGGACCCAAAGACAGGTACAGTCGAGACAAGTCAAAAGCCACTTGTGCGGACTCATGCTCACCGAGTCCGCCTTCACCAATCCACTGAAGTACTTCCGGAACTCCGGGCAGACTCCGGCGCTGCCCGCGTAGGCAGCGTCCACGTGGACCCAGGCCCCGAATTCTTTCGCCACGTCGGCGATGGGGCCCACTGGGTCCACGGCGTTGGAGGGTGTCCCCAGGTGGCGCAGACAGTAGGTGGGGACCAGCCCCGCGGCGTCGGCCTCATCGACCGGAGGAGGAGGGTCGGGTTGAGGGAGAACTCGGTGTCGGAGCTGGTGGGGATTGATCGGATGTTGGATGGACTGAACCCGGCGATTTTGCATGCCTATCATAAACAAATCAACGGTAGATCAATTTGGAAATTTGATAAGAAGAATATAATATATAGTTTTTTTTTTGTTTAGGACAAATCAGTGTCTCACTTATAATTAGTACACCCGAAAAACTTTTGCTAAGAGTACAAATATTCCTACAGGAACAGTCCTAACAGTTATAGTGTTCCTGCATGTACGTACAAAATGAGAAAATTAATCGATGTTAATTCATAAAAATAAGATGAGTTGGATGATGTGATGAGATGAGTTGTCATTATATTATTGGATGAGATGAGATAATATGAGTTGTCATTATATCATTGGATGATGTGACACACACTTAAGGAAATCGATTTCCTAGTTTTTTCGAAGGAAACGAGTGGAAATAAAATGTTAATGAGATGAGATGAGTTGTCACCATGTTATTGGATGATGTGAGTGATTTTTAAAGATGAGATGTGATGGAGATGAGATGAGTTGGATGATGTGAATCATTTCTCGTGTTTGGTTTATTTTTAGAGTGACACTACAGGCACACCATATGCCACACCCTCAGCCACACTCTCCTCTCTCTGCTACAGTAATCGGGGCCCACATGAAATTTATAAATAAATCTTATGTGAGCCCCGGTTACTGTAGCAGAGAGAGGAGAGTGTGGCTGAGGGTGTGGCACATGGTGTGCCTGTATCATTTTTGTTATTTTTAGGAGATGGTATAAGATGAGTTGTGAGATGAAAATAATATTTTTATTGGATGTTGTGGTGAATTTTAAAGATGTAAATGAATGAAAATAATATTTTATTGATTTCCGTATATCCTTTTTCTTTTCTTGATTTTTAAGGAAACCAACCAAACAGCCCCTTAATTAACAAGTAACTACTCTTTGTCTTAGGACCTAGCTATCTGACACGCACGCACCCACGCAGGCACGCACAGTCGACAGGGACGAACCTTGTAGAACGTAGAATGCGTCTCGATCAGAACCATAAGCCACGAGCTCATCATCCTCCTCCCGCCTCCCCTCTGCTCACCGCGCATCCTCGCCGCAACGATCGTGACAATAGGATCTCGCTCGCCGTCCGTGAATCACCCCACCACCCCCGCCCTCGACCCTGAACTCCTCCGGCAGCCCACTCTTGCCAGCCAGCCCACCAGCAGCCCCTCCACCTCCGCCGCCGCCGGGAGACGCCACCCAGCCTGAACCCCACATTGTTCACCGCCGACGCGAGTAGTTCCCGGCGATGGAGGCGGAGCTAAGGGTGGCGCGGGAAGTACGCGAAGAAGTTCGGGCTCTGCAGTTGGTCAGGCCCGGCAGGATCGAGCGGCGGAGGGTTTCGAGCGTGGAAGCGAAGGGGAGGTTCGCGGGAGGGGAGGAGGGAGTGGTGGTGGGAGAGGTGAGCCGGGTTCGACGTCGGGGAGGACGGGGAGGGATTCTATGGATTTGTAGTAGTCCAGGATGAGGTCTACGGTTTGTTGGAGGTGGGATTTTAGGGAGTTCCCGTCTAAGGGGTTGAAGGTTGTGAGTGAGGGGTCACTGAGGCTTCCCATTAATAATGTTTTTTTTTTTTTCACACCCCCTGGCCTCCTCTAGCTAGCTTGGGTTGTGAAAAGTTTTTGATGGAGGGAGAGGTGATTTTTTTGGATTTATCGTGTATGGTATATATAGAGGGAGACGGGGGGTATGGAGGTCATTTCAGGAGGGAGATCAGATTATGTGTTTTTTTTTTAGAAAAAGAATGGATTATCACAAAGATAATCCAACCAGCTAAATTAAAAAAAAGGTTGTTACAAAAGAAATATACACACCCCTAACCAAGAGTGTGTATTAACGTTCATAGTCAAGATTACAAAGCAAAAGTATAACCCAGCACAACTCTGAATATAACCATAGGTCTCTCCCACAAAAAGAAGACCATAACCAAAAACCAAATGCTAAAAGTTTCACGACGATCAGACGTATGTGTTGGTGGAGAGCAAACGAAAAATGCGTAGTCTAGCTAGAAGTCAACATGGATGTAAGTAACGATCAAAATGTGTTTCACGATCAAATTCTTGCTCGAGGTCCCCCGGTCAATCAAAATCATGTACGAACTGAATTCATGTCAAATTCTATCACCACGTGATGAAAAAGTTTAGTCATGTTGATGCGATGCAATCTAAGTTTAATTACAGCGGTGCGCAATCCAAGTTTAATCATACGAAACGAATGAAATCTAAATCATTAAGGAGTGAGCAAAGTTTAGTGATCATAGTGAAGCGTCTAAAGTGTATTATGTATTAGAATCACACGTGATGAAAAAGTATGAATCTTATATAATTATGATAAAGTATGAATCCAAGTTTAATCATACAAAACGATGAATTTTAAATCATTAAAGAGTGAGCAAAGTTTAGTCATAGTGAAGCGTCTAAAGTGTATTATATATTAGAATCACATGTGATGAAAAAGTATGAATCTTAAATAATTATGCTTCCCCCTCCCAAGACTTTTTCAACGCTCTAAAAACCCCCAAATTTGTAATAACTATGCTCTGAGCCCCCAAAACACAAAGCCCAAGAATTTTACACAGGTAAAGACTATAATACCCATTCTCTCTCTAATATTATATTCGTAATAACCATACAATCCGTCCTCTCTCCCTCCTCCTTCCCCCACCATTTTTGCCCTAGCCCCCTCCGTCCCTTCTGCAACCCTCGTGGCGGCAGAAGCTCCTCTCCGGTCTCACGCCTCGACCCCTCGCCTCTGCTCGCCGAGATCCTCCATGTCCACCGTTGATCCCAGCGCGGCGTCCGCTCGACCCCTCGCTCGACCCCTCGGCCTCCGCTCGCCGAGAATATTTCATGAAGCTCAGGACCTCAACCTTAACCTGTCCCTGCAGCCTGGGCCTCGTCCCGAGCACGCACGAGTTTTCTCGTGTAACTATTGCAGACGGACTTTTTACAGCACCCAAGCTCTTGGAGGACACCAGAATGCACACAAGCTGGAGCGCAACCTAGCGAAGAGGAGCAGAGAGATGGCTAATGATTGAATTGATCTCGTAATGACACGTGCGAACTTGATGTTGCTTTGTAGCTTCTGAAACTAATGCATCTAGATTTACTAGCAACAGAGTTTCTTCCTGTCACATGTTTTCTTTTTGGGATCTTTTTCTTTTTTTTATTTTCCCCCTTCAAAATAAGTTTTCCTGTTCGAAAAAGAATGCCTCTTCTCTCTTGCATTAACGGTATTTTCTTTCTTCACGTTTAGTATACATGTACCCAATGATAGTTATCTTTTCTATTTGCAGATAAGGTTACGGTTGTTAAGTTTACGGGTTGTTAAGATTACGGGTTGCTTGTTAAGGTTACGTGTTGCTTGTTAAGGTTACGGTTTACTTGTTAAGGTTACGCGTTGATTGTGAAGATTAAACTTAACAACCAACCCATAACCTTAACAACCAACCCGTAACCTTAACAATCAACGCGTAACGTTCACAACCAACGTGTAACCTTACCCATAACCTTCACAAGCAACCCGTAAAACCTTCATAAAAATAAAAAAAGGAAGGAAATAGAAAAAAAGCTTTAATTTTTTGTACTTCTACTATAATAATTCATAACTTCATAAAAATAAAAAGCAGTAAAAATTCTACACTTTCCTTCAGAAAATTCATGCTTACAGCACCACATAAAACTGTGCAATGTATGATTACTTTCATATTACCACTCAACACTCACTGAGGAGGTGGACTGCCATGGTTTTGAGACCGTTGACAGGGTAGAGGAAGAAGACGATGATGCATACATTTGTTTTAGGTAGTGGGAGTGAGCTAGATTTTGTAATAATATTTCACTTTTAATTTTAATGAAATTTTCAAAAGCCAAACGATTTATGTGTTGGTTGTTAAGGTTACAAGTTGCTTGTTAAGGTTACACGTTGGTTGCTAAGGTTACGTGTTGGCTGTTAAAGTTATATGCGTTGGTTGTTAAGGTTTCAGGTTGCTTGTTAAGGTTACGTGTTGGTTGTTAAGGTTATGAATTTTCAAAAGCCAAATGATTTACGTGTTGGTTGTTAAGGTTACAGGTTGCTTGTTAAGGTTACACGTTGGTTGTTAAGGTCACGTGTTGGTTGTTAAAGCTATACGCGTTGGTTGTTAAGGTTTCGGGTTGCTTGTTAAGGTTAAGGGTTGCTTGTTAAAGTTACGCATTGGTTGATAAGATTAACTGTAACCTTAACAAGTAATCCGTATTGGTTGTTAAGGTTACGTGTTGGTTGTTAAAGTTATACGCGTTGGTTGTTAAGGTTTCGGGTTGCTTGCTAAGGTTACACGTTGGTTGTTAAGGTTACAGATTACTTGTTAAGGTTACAGTTAACCTTAACAACCAACGTGTAACTTTAATAAGCAACCCGTAACCTTAACAACCAACGCGTAACCTTAACAAGCAACTCGAAACCTTAACAACCAACGCGTATAACCTTAACAAGCAACGCGTATAACCTTAACAATCAACACGTAACCTTAACAAGCAACGCGTATAACCTTAACAACCAACACGTAACCTTAACAAGCAACGCGTATAGCCTGAGGGATGGATGAAGTATTTAACACACACGCACAAGTTGTATGAAAAGACATAAAGTACAATAATTTCCAAGAACGACAGAGAGAGAGAGAGAGAATGAGTATTATAGTCTTTACCTGTGTAAAATTCTTAGCTTTGTGTTTTGGGGGCTCAGAGCATAGTTATTACGAATTTGGGGGTTTTTAGAACGTTGAAAAAGTCTTGGGAGGGGGAAGCATACTTGTTACGAATTTGGGGGCTGGAAGCATTTTTCCCATAATTATATGATAAAGTAAATCTAAAATACATGCGACAGTAAATTATATAGTGATCATAGATCTAAACTATCAATAATAATCTGGTAATTACTCACAAAGAAAAGAAGCAAATTATGTCGAAATGCATAAAAATAAATGGCCAAACAAAAACATTTAACCTTTTAATAGAATCCAGAGCACAACCACCCATCCATCACCATCAAATATACCTTCAAGCTATCCACTTTCTCACATAGTATGCCGCTTCGATCCCCATGACTACTTCAATCTTCACCCGAACCTTCTAAAAATGAAAATAAAAAAGAAATAGAATCGAGAACAAACAAAAACAAAACTGCAATCCTAAGGAATTAAAATCATTTTCTTGTTAATCAAAAGTGGAGAGTTTTTCGGATATAAAAATTAACAAAGGGAAAATACGTTAAGAAATAAACACGTCTAGAGAAAGAAATCACACGATTTTACAATAAATAAGACATAAATGTTCCATAGAATATAACTCACTGTAGGCACTAAAAATATGCCAAGGGACAAAGGAGTGTAGAAGCTCACTACAAGCATGACGAGGGTCGTCACAATGACGAACCTCGTCTCGGTCAATGAGGGTCATCTCAGCGAAGACGAGACCCCCAGTGCCTCATTCCTCAGAAGACGAACTTCGTCATTGGAGACGAAGTTCGCCCAAAGACGAAGCTCGCCCAAAGACGAAGCTCTCAAACACTCTATCACTCAGAAGGTGAAGCTCGTCACTAGAGATGAAGTTCGAAGCTCGTCACTAGGGACAAAGCTCACTCAGAAGGCAAAGCTTGTTATCGAAGACGAAGTTTGAAACTAGTCAGAAGACGAAGTTCGTCAGAAGAAATTCATCCAGAGACGAACCTTGCCACACAGCAAGGCTCGTCTCATCAGACGAACATCGCCACACAGCGAAGCTCGTCTCACCAAATGAGGCTCAACGTCAGGAGGCTAATGGTCATGAAGACCCAGTCAGCCCACGTGGGTTAAATTCAAGGAGTCAGTTACGCTCGTGATTCCATGATCTTAGCGTCAATTACGTACTGAACGCTTATGAAAGAGGACATACACTCTTTTGGAGATCCGAGCATCAGATATTGAGGACCTACACACGAGCATCAAGGGCCAACAGCAGCCGCAAGCAACTCAAGCACTCGAAAGAGACTATTTTCTCCTCGAGTCAAAGCAATTTTGCTCCGATCGTCAACGAGAAATAAGCTCGACACGAGCATCGAGCGAGGTATCTCATTGCCACATCGAACCCACGTTAAACAAAGGAGAAGTCGAATCAATCTTCTCCTCTTCTGTACTTGAAAAAGAACGACTGTAAAAAGGTTCTTACCAAGCGATAGAACTCATTCTTACAACCAAGCAGTTGAAGAATCAGTTGTTTCGTCCTTTTCATGACACTACACTCACGACCTTGTGAACACTACATAATAGAGACAAACAAAATAGTTAGAAAATACCATTAGTAATACTTAGGTGAATAACAAATACTGATCATAGATCTTATGTATTATTAGAGAATGCTAAAATCTCAAAGCATAAACAAATAGATGAAAATAATTGCACACCCAATAACATGACCTCCACCATTAGGAATAACACCAGGCTGCAAGTTCTCTGGTCGAGAGAGATTTCAACGTTCACAATTTAAAGAATTTATCTTTAGATTTTCATAAATTGCTTCGTTGATCACGAGAAGACAACTTAAAGATAAATGTCCTCGATAACTTAATGGTCTTAACCAATTACAATCCTATATATTTCTCTAAAATTA